GGGGATTATGTGATAAGAGACGAAGAGAACCTCAGTTAAGGTTGTCCTAGGATGCATAGTAATTCCCCTGCCTTCAAGAGTTCTTGCAACCACTGCTCGCATTTCGTCATCAAAACCTCTGAAATTATATGTTATATATAAACGCCATGAGACACAATGCACCAATAAATACATTTATAAAAATGACAATCAGATAAAAAACCATGTTCTGTAAGAAACATGAAAAGAAATGTAAGGAATGAAAAATGCAGCAAGTAGATTTGATATATATCCACATCCTACTTGGGACCTTAAGCATCCTAGTGTTTTGTTCTTCCTTTATCAGTTCACAAGATTTGTATTCTGTTCTAAAAGTATCTTTAGCAATAATCAGGTAAAAAAATGACTGAACATCTTCAAATTTTAAAATGAGTTACAACACTTCAATTATCAAATTTTAACATCGAGATAAATTCAATTTAATTTGGAATAGGAGACCTTTTTGAGCCGAGGGATATTCATATAGTCAACTACAATGAAATAAAGTTATCTCTTAGAAAATATCAAGACAATACATGATAATTCAAATGAAATAGTTTTGGTGATCAATCTTTGAAAGAAATGTTTTAATCCAACAGTCATTGAAAACAAAATGTTAGCGGAGACGTCCTCAGAGTATAAAGGAAAATAAATTACAGAACACCAGCAAAAGCTATGGTTCATTTATGCAATAAAACAGAGTCAGGCAAAAGAGTGCTAATGGCTCCTTGTCCAAAAAGAGGCCAAAAGGAACACTCTATTGTGCAGTCAAAGTTACAGAAGTTGCTGTTCCCTAATGGTTACTAACTATATGCACTAGGTAATGGCTAACATGGCAATGTCCAGAAATTTTCCATTCCCTCTCTACTTCCAAAACCTTAAATTTCATTATTAATAATCACTTTGAAGATTGAAGAACAAAGTTTGCATCACTACAAGAAAAATCAAACAAAATCAGGTGCACCATCACAATGCTACAATGAGGAGTTGCAGCCTCAAGGAACCCACAGTTACAAATTAACCTTTGAGTGAATTATTGTATCCTTCACATTGCCCAGACAATTCTTTCATTAAATACACCAAGTTCCACTTTCACAGGTTGATTCACAGTGCCCTGACAAATCTCGAAAGTAATTCCCTCAATCATTAATTCGTCATACAAATCTTTGCATTCACTACCTAAATGAACCCCTCAATAACCATGATATTTTCGAGTAACAACTAGAAACTGATTAAATTGACAAATACCACCCCTTGATATCTGGTGTTCTATATCACATAAATCTGCTTTGAAAAAGAGAGAAACTGTATGAAATGCATTAAAAAAAAAAGGGAAAGGAAAAGTATTCATTTGCAGAAAAAATGCACAGTTTCTAAGTGGGCATGAATCGAATTGAAAAAAAACTCATAAAAACAAGTTTGCAAACAATTTACATTGGCCAAAATAAAGAACAGAAATCATGCTGAAGTTATCTGAGGTATTGATAGGCACTGATGACTTAGCAACTAGTAGTATCGCACGTAGAAAAAGATGGGTGCTTCAATAGTATAGCTGTTTGCCTGTTTTGGAAGGACTAGGAAAACATAAATAATTGTACCGTCCAAAAAGTGATAGAACGAAGCAGAACAAGAATCCAGTTTCAGTTTATTCTCAACCAATAAAGTTATCTTAAACTATGTAGCCTTGTCTATAGAGGCATCGTGAAAGCTAAAATTAAAAAAATACTCCAAAAAAATTTGAATTCATAATCTAAAGAATTAAGCAAATTAAAACATATCACAAAATAAATTATCTCATTAAAATTCCAATTCAACTACTTGAAGGATTTCAAGAGTCTCAGCCTCATTTTCGCAGTCAATAATAGTCCATCTACTCTGAAGTTTCGTATGGTGAGGTAGTAGATCTCAGAACCTTCACTACAACACCAGGCAGTCACGGAAACAGAGAACACAAAGAGTTGATATTCAAGTGAACTTTATAACCTTAAAGGGAGCTCCTTTCTGAAGCACAAATCCACTGTTGCACCCATCCCACGCCATATTGAAGCAAACTCAACAGCAATGTACCTACATTTCATAGAAGAAACATTAATCATTTATATCTTTTATGAAAACTAAACAAATTCAATGTAACAAAAACGACGTAGCATACCCTCCCCCAAGTATAACGGCTCGCTTAGGTAACTCTTCCAAGCTCAATGCCTCATCAGATGTTATAGCCAATTCCTACATGTGAACCAAAAAATATAAGCATACACATCAATATACACTCCAGATAAAGCAAGAGTCAAAGGTATCAATAAAAATTGAACTGGGAATTAGAGGAAATTAAAAAGCAGAAGGGAAAAAAAGGAGGGGTTGGATAAAGACAGAAATTTGTTGTGAAAAGTTATCACATTGTTACCACACATGGCATCCCATCTAAAGTCACAAAATTCAAGTTAAACGTGAATTAAAGTACAAGAATCAATTCTATGCATATGAATAATAGCCAAAACATTAAGGAGTATATTATATATAGAAAAATCATACACCTGTCCGGGAATAGATGGTCGTTGAGCCCTACTTCCAGTTGCAATCAGAATGTGTTTTGCCGAATAGCTTATTTTGGTGCCATCCAATTGAATCACTTCAACTTCATTAGGACCAACAACTTTTCCCTCTCCTTCAAATAGTTTAACTCCCGCATTTGAAAGTAACCGTTTATAGATTCCGTTTAATCTAACTATTTCCTCTGTCTGGAAACCAGGAATAAAGATGAAATGTGAAAAATGGATATAAAGAAAAATAACCTATAAAATTTAAGAATGCCATTCAAGGAAGTAGTCAATGTTCAGAATAGGCCTTGTAAAATGTCATTGATTATTCAACAAAATAAATACAGATATATACATTACAAAGGTCCACAGTTCCCCTTTCCGTAACAATCCTTTTAGAAAGGGGGATCCCCCCCCCCCCCTCCCCCTTTTTTTTGGGAACCACTGACATGGGCAACCAATAAATAATTTACACGCATTAAAAAACATTAATGACCATCTCAAAAATGAAGATAAAAACTAAGATGATTAGAACAAAATTAACGACATTAGCATCAAGATAAACTATTATCAGCATATTAGCAGGAGGCAGATGACATTGATAAAAAAATAAAATAAAATAAAATTCTTGAAATCGGATCAATATTGATACTTCCCAAATCAACTAGAACTTAGAATTAACCATGCTTAATGCTTTGGGATAGGCAATGTACATTTGGAAATTTGAAAAAGAGAAATTAAGCGTAAAACTCGTTTGTTGTCCAGAAAAGAACTAATCTTAATTCAAGACTAGATTCAAACACCATGTCCTTTTTACTCCTCTCTAAACTGTAATTGAATGTTTGATAACGAGTTTTCTTACCCCCATTTCAGCACAGACTGATCAAAAAGATGCGATTGTGCTTAAAAGGAAATAGTGGAAGTTGCTGTAAGGTGAATGATATACAGCCTTTGACATGTAAAAGAACAATTGACACTATATTCTACTTACCTTTTTGTGTAAAAGCTTCTTCCAATTGAAATCAATTTTCTCATTCAATTCCCATCCGTAACTCCTCGCGTCCTGCAAAACCAGAGATATAAATCAATCTACATGATGTGTGATCCCAATTCACCCAGCAATAATTTTTCGTCCTTTAAGGATGAATTTTGAAAGCACGGATATACTGTGAAAAGAACTTAAATATAAAGGAAGTTCAGAGCACTTAGATATGAGCTTGTCTTCGAAAAGTCCCAATAATAAGATCCAAAACAATTCAGTTACATAATATCGTTGTTAATTTTGTTGGATAATTCTTCCATGTCTTGCTTTCATATATATAGAGATTCACAGATATAAACAAAGAAACCCTAGCTGTATAAAACGAAAATTAGTTATACAAAGAAACCTGTACCTCTAATACCCCTTCAGTTACATAATATCGTTGTTAATTTTGTTGGATAATTCTTCCATGTCTTGCTTTCATATATATAGAGATTCACAGATATAAACAAAGAAACCCTAGCTGTATAAAACGAAAATTAGTTATACAAAGAAACCTGTACCTCTAATCCCCCCCCCCCAAAAAAAAAAAAAAAAAGTTCGATGTTGTCGAGTCGACAAGCATCAATTTGAGAAAATTATGACGGAAGAAAGTTAAAGATTAAGTGAAGATATCTGCGACCTATTGATTAGCAGAAACATGGGAAAGAATGATGACCTTGAAATCATAGGCATCCCGGATGTAATGGCAATCCACTTTGACGTGTTTGGTGCGTTCATGGTACACAGGATTAGCCACAATTTGAAGAGCACTAGTGTTATTACCATGGAGAGATGTAGGGTGTGATTGGGGAAAAATAAGTTCTGCAAGAAGACTATGCAGCTGCATAACCTCTGAACATGCAATAGACATAGCTCGATATTCAGTTTTAATGGAGGAATTAAAAATACAATCCTATTTTTAACATTTTTGAGAAATGAGAGCATCACCAAAAAAGATACAACATCCAGTAGTATATCGACGAGAATGAGGACTGCCAGCCCAGTCAGCATCACTATAAGCAATGAGCTCAAGAGTTGCCACTTGAGGGAAGAATAAACCACGATAAGGGGTCCCTTATTTAGCAAATAATGCATCGAACAGCTACCAAGTAAAGAGGATGAGGGCGTCCATAAATTTGCTGACAGTGTGAACTGCGAATGAGATATCCAGACGAATGATGGTGAGATAGATGAGACTACCAACTTTCAATATAGGGTAGGATCTGGAAGATTATCACATTTGTCCTTTCGATATTTAACATTAGGCTCCAATGGAGTATCAACTGAGGAGGCTTCAAATAAATCAACCAATCTAATGAAGTCTCGAATATACTTATGTTAATTTAAGAAGATACCATGTGGTGTAGTATGAACCTCTAAGTCAAGAAATTAAGTGAGATGTCCAAGATCTTTCATATGAAAAACCAAGTAAAGATGCTCTTGAAACTTTTGAACAAGGGAGTGATCAAATCCAGATATAATAATATCATCCACATATACCTACAAAAAAACGATGCCAACAGTACTCTTGTGAAAGAACAAAGATGTGTCTGACTTTGACTAAAGGAGAAATTCAAAAGAGTACGGTGAAACTTGTCAAATCATGCTTGAGGTGTTGTTTAAGACCATACAAAGAGTTTTTAAGCTTACAAACAGAGTCAGCCGAGAGAAGAGGCATACTAAATGGAAGTTTCATATAAATATCTTCCTTGAGATCTCCGTGTAAAAGGGCGTTCTTGAGATCCATCTGATATAAAGACTAATACGGGTAGAAGAAAATCACTACTACGAACCAACTCACAGAGATCATGCATTGGCGACTGTTCCAGCAAGAGTCCAATCTTAGTATGTTGAAAATAAGAGTACACCTTCCAACGACAATAGAAATGACAATCGGCGACCCCAGGTAATGATCAACTAAGAGGAGCAAAAGGTCGATTACAGAATTCCGACCTCAATGACAACCAATTGACCACCAAAACACAAGGAGCAACCACAGATGATGTCGTCGGTGATGAAAACAAGAATCGAGTGTTGCCTCCCAACAAACTTAGACCACACTGCAACCACACGCTCGAGGAAGAAGGTTACGTCTCTGATACCATGTCAGTTTTGCTAGATAATTCTTCCGTCCATCTTGCTTTCATATAAATAGAGAGATTTACATATATATACAAGGAAACCCTAGCGGTACAAAATGAAAATTAGTTATATAAGGGAACCTGTAAATTACTGTAAATCATGCCTCTAATAATCATAGCACCACAAGCCTCCAAATAAAAACATCACTACAATCCTTAGAAAAATCTCCATACATTGATAAAATCACTTGTTGATATCTTGAATTTATGTGGATAAGTTTTCTAATGGCTCTGTAGTGTGGACATGGTCACTGTAAACTGTATGCACTAGCTTATCCTAAAGATTACAAAGTATAATAACACGTAGACGCAACTACAGTCCCTTCATCATGAATGCAAAGGAATAGCGAGCCCCAACACACCATGTCGGAGGGAGAGAAATTCTAACAAAATATAATGAACTATTATAAATCTAAAAAACTAGATCACAAATTCTGCTTTGGAAAAAGAGAAGACTTTCAAAAAGAGCAAACTTTAAAGGCCTTTTCAATTATGAAGCAGCAGTTTGTATCAATTTGATTAACATGTGAACATTTTCTTCCAATTATGTCACGTCTTCGACGAGTCATCTAAAAGACTATTAACTAATTGAACACACATAAACATGGCATCTATCATGAATATCTAACAAGGTGTTGACTATACATGTGCAAAGGAAATTAATACTTTTGTAAAATACATGGAATTACAAATCCACCCCCTAACTCTAGGAAATGAAAAAACAAAGGATCCTAATATGCTTTTCAAACGAAATGCTAAACACCTTTAGTCAGTCAAGAGTTGTTGACTAGATATTGTCCTAGATGAGCATTCTCTCTATGACCATCTGCTAGGACACCAATACACCTCATTTCCGCATCTATTCCGAGTTGGACTTATGTTTAATTTGCTTAAAAGAAATTTGGAATTGCAAAGCAACAATGAAGTAAAATCAACTTGGTTTTCGAAATTATGACGAGGACTGTTGTCAGCATTAATTTTTTATGCTTTCATTCATCCAATACACATAAGTATGGATTTGATGTTCCGAGGTAAAAGTTAGGAGACATACCATACAGTGTTAAATGTCACCATATCATTGTCATCCATATCCAGTAACTTGGTTGGGAATTTTCAAGACACTTAAGAATAAAAGTCCAAAGCAGAATTATATTAAACATCTTTAGCTCCTTTCTCTAGATGACAGCAAGGCACAATAAGGCTCATGGTTTAGTGATGAATCCTCAAATGGATGAATTTTTTATGTCAAGGCACCAAAGGTCTTCAAAAGCTTTGCCTTCTTTTAGGCCTTTGTAACAGAGTAATCAATTCCCTAGCCTTATTACTCACACCAGAAAGCAACAAATTCAGTTGACGACTGCATAATTATGCTTCGAGCAGTTTTTGTCACTGTTCTTGGCAAGATTGCTTGGTTTACAAAATTGCTTAGGCTTTGGGTCGGCAAATAACTTGCTACTTAGATGCAAACATCCATTAATATAAGATATGCAAGGCGTTGCAAGAGAAAGGAGAACTACATCAGGCAAGGTGTTGAGCAGGTGGCAGCTGGCAAAGTAAGGTTTTGCAAATTCTACATCAAATTGGGAGAATTTGAGTAACTTAGAAAGTGAGTTCATTTCCTTCTGCTTGAACAGCATAATTCTTTCTTTATTATTATTATTTTTATTATTATTATTATTATTTATTTATTTATTTATTTTTGAATAAGGGTATTTTTGGTATTTTGCTGGACTAATATTATGTCTCCTTTTACATGTGTACAAGTGCATCTCAACATATTTTCATATTGGCTTACACGTGTGCATTCCATTTCATCATTTTAACATCTTTGTAGATGGTTCACTTGTAGTGTGATTTAATAGCAACAAAAAATTTATATAATAACTGTAGAAATCCCGTAATTATGGTTTAATAATTATGGAATTGTTGTATGTATAGTAATCTAACAGGAAAGAGTTTATTTCTTTAATTAGGAGATTATGTACCTTTTTTATCTACCTCATTGTATTATAAAGTAAGATGAAAAGATGTAAGAAAATAAGAGAAAATAATTGAAAAGAAATCTCTCATTCCTTGTGTTAATGGTATCAGAGCCCTAAATTGCCTTTTCTCAAACCTGTGGTCGTTCTCTTGAGTTTCTCATGTTTTCGGCATCTACCTATTGTTCCAGTGCCGTCGGTAATTGGTGCCTTGTTCATCATGGTCAAAAACTGCAGTTGTACCACTGTTCCTTGACGTCAGAGTCTTCGGTAGGCTCTTCTCCTTTTCTATTCTAATGCCGTTCAAGTCTCTACCAAGGCATTTTTTTTCTCGTCGCACCATCTAAGGTGCATCTTCGCATTTCCGGAGTGGCTACTTTGGGTCTTGGTCGAAGCATTTTTGTGTTCGAAATCTCTGAGTTTCCGACACCTGAATTCATTGTAAGGTGTGAGTCTCTCATTTGGGCTGCCTATGTTTTAAACTCCTGTGAATTGATGTGTTTGTTGGGCCTTAGTTACTTTGGGTTGTTGTATTTTTCTTCTTGGTGGATTAAATTTATTTGGGCTGATTTTCATCATGTCATCTGAGAAATCAAGTTCATTGGCCCACAAATGTAATTCCTTTGGAGCCCGAAATTTTACCGCACTCACTGAAGTGCCATGGATTATTGACTCAGGGGCTTCTAATCATATGACAGACTCTTACAATCTATTTGTTACATACTCACCATGTGCTGGTAATCTTAAAGTAAAAATTGCAGAATGCTCTCTTTCCCCAATAGTTGAAAAAGGAAGTACTCAAATCTCTAAAACTATAAAACTAGAGAATGTTCTCCATGTTCCAAACCTGTCTTGCAACTTACTGTCCCTTAGCCAATTAACTAAAAAATCTAATTGCTCTGCTAATTTTTTCCTTCTTACTATGTATTTCAAGACCCATAATCGGGGAAGACGATTGGCTGTACTAAAGAGAGTGACGGGCTCTACTACTTTGACGAGGTCGATGTGAGTAAACAACGTCAATTTGCTAGTTGTGATTCAGCATTTACCCCTAAGGATAGTGAGATACTTTTATGACGTTATAGAATGGGTCACCCCAACTTTCAGTATTTGAGACATATACTTCCTTCAATTTTTCCGAATAAAATGAATTTTGAAATTAGATGTGAAATGTATGAACTTGCAAAATATCACCGTTCTTCGTACCCAAAATCTACATATAAACCGTCAAAACCATTTACTATGATTCATAGTGATGTATGGAGACCTTCACGAATTCCCAATCGTACTTACACAAAATGGTTCGTCACGTTTATCGACGACCATACCCGAATCTGCTGGGTCTACGTGTTGAAAGAAAAATCCAATGTTCATTCGCTATTTATTAGCTTCCACTCAATGGTACAAACTCAATTTCAAACATGAATTCAAATTCTGCGCAAGGACAACGGCACATAATATTTCAACAATATCCTTAAAACCTATCTTTAAGAAAATGGGATAATCCATCAAAGTTCATGTGTCAATACTCCCCAACAAAATGGAATTGCTGAACGAAAAAATAGACATCTTCTTGAAGTTGTTCGAGCCCTAATGTTCACTACAAATATACCTAAACTGTTCTAGGGGACGCTATTTTAACATCAGCTTACCTTATAAACAGAATGCCTATTCCCACCCACTTGGAATCTCCTCTCCAGAAATTTTGAGAATGCTTTCCTGACTCTTGACTCAACTCAGATTTACCTCTAAAGGTATTTGGATGTACTAGCTTTGTTCATATACACTCCCATCAACAAAATAAACTAGAACCCTGTGCACTCAAGTGTGTATTCATTGGACTCGCCTACACGAAAGGGATATAAATGTTATGATCCAAACACAAAAACGGGACTTGGTTAGCCTTGACGTCACCTTTCTTGAGGGAAGGCCTTATTTCCAAAAATCCTCTCCTCAGGGGTTGAAATCAAGTAAAGATCAATTCTTGGAAATCTCTCTTTCTACTCTTCCTATAACACCACCACCACCCAGCTTTAATATGCCATCTACAGAGGACAACTTGAATTCAGTGGGAGATAAAAAAAAAAAACATTATAATAAAGAAATAAAAGTTTACTCAAGAAGGTTGAAATCAGAGGAGGAAAACCTCATGCTCGAAGCACCAAGAGAGTCGGAACCGGTGATAGCTCCAGATCCCCATGAGTTCTCTCCTGACTTAACTGACATAAACCTACTTATCGCTCTCAGGAAGCCAACTTCATCATGTACTCTTCACCCTATCTCAAAATTCATAGCTTATGAAACCTTATCTCCAAGATTTCAAACCTTTGTTTCTAACCTTGATTGTACAGAAATCCCAAGAAATATCCAAGAAGCATTGGAAATCCCGAAATGGAGAGATGCAATGATGGAAGAAATGAGAGCGTTGGAGGCAAATGAAACTTGGGATATAGTAGAGTTACCAAAAGGTAAGAGACCTGTTGAGTACAAATAGGTATTTAATGTGAAATACAAAGCAGATGGGATAGTAGAACGGTACAAAGCCCGTCTAGTTGCAAAGGGATATATTCTTACACAGAAACATTCGCATTTGTAGTAAAATTAAATACAATCCGAGTTCTTTTATCATCAGCAATAAATTTGGATTGGTCACTCCAACAACTTAACATTAAGAATTGCATTTTTGAATGGGGAGTTAGAGGAAGAAGTCTTCATGACTCTACCACTAGGTTTTCGGAGAAAAGGTGAAGACAACAAGGTGTGCAAACTCAAAAAGTCTCTATACGGCCTTAAGCAGTCACCAAGAGCATGATTTGCCATATTTGCAAATATGTTGAAAAATTAGGGCTATCGACAAGGGCAGTCAGATCACACTATATTTTTCAGAATATTTCAAGATGGAACAAATACCATTCTAATCGTATATGTTGATGACATAATCCTCACAGGTGACAGCACAGTCGAGATAGAGAGACTAAAACTAAGTCTAGCCACAGAATTTGAAGTAAAAGATTTTGGACAACTGCAGTATTTTCTAGGAATGGAAATGGCTAGATCAAGGAAAGATATCAGTGTTTCACAACGAAAATATATCCTAAATCTCCTAACCAAAACAGGCATGCTTGGGTGTAAACCAAGTAACACTCCTATGGAGGCTGGAAGGAAGACAGACAATATGGGAAAATCAATTGAGAAGGACAAGTATCAACGACTAGTTGGAAAATTGATCTATCTATCACATGCCAGACCAGACATTGCATTTGCAATTAGTGTGGTGAGTCAATATATGCATTCTCCAAAGGAAGCTCATTTAGAAGCAATATATAGAGTCTGAGGTATCTCAAAGATGCTCCTGGAAAGGGATTATCCTTCAAGAAAACTGAAAAAAGGGGAGCAGAGATATTTACGGATACTAACTGGGCAGGATCAATAGATGATAGAAGATCAACTACATGCTATTGTTCCTTTGTATGGGAAAACTTGGTAACGTGGAGAAGTAAGAAACAGAATGTAGTAGCCAGAAGTAGTGCTGAAGCAGAGTTTCGAACAACATCTCAAGGAATATGTGAAGGACTATGGTGAAATAAACTTTTGGAAGAATTACAAGTTACAATGAAACTCCTGATCAAACTCTACTGTGATAATAAAGATGCGATCAATATTTCACTCAATCCAGTTTAGCATGATCGAACCAAACATGTAGAGGTAAATAGACATTTTATCAAGGAGAAAGTCGAAGACGGAACTATTTGCATGACCTACATTCCAACCAAGGAACAAACGGCAGATGTATTCACTAAAGGACTATACAGACAAAATTTCGGCAATTTCATCTGCAAGTTGGATATGATCATATCTACAATCCAACTTGATGGAAGTGTAGTATGTATAGTAATTTGACAGGAAAGAGTTTATTTCTTTAATTAGGAGATTATTTACCTTTTTTTATCTACCTCATTGTATTATAAAGGTGAAAACATGTAAGAAAATAATTGAAAGGAAATTTCTCATTCCCTGCGTTAAATAACAAACTTGATACAAATCATTAGTCACATAATAATGAAAAACCTAGAATTTTTTTCTTAATTTCTATAAACAATAGAAAGAAAGAATCTCATATGTCACCAATAAGAAATATACATATACTCTATGAAACCTTTGGCACTGACGTAACGTGCTGACTAAATATAACATTTTACTGAAACTTCTTTCCTCAACTAATAAACTACATCTCCTACCAAATTTAAAAAGAAAACAATATTAATTTTAACAGGCTTTTCGAAGCACATTTTCTAAAATAACTTGCTAATGTACCAAAGAAAAGAACGAAATTTAAACAAAGACTTTTCAAGAAACTGTCACCCTTTATCATCTCTTCGTCTTATTAAGTCATAATCTCACCTCCAATTCAGATCCAAAGGTTGCACCGTAGACCAAAATCTTTTTAGGAACACAACCACGAATGACACACCTGAAAAAAAACGTAAAAACTAGTTTCTTAGTGGCATCTTCATTCTCATTACTTCAAATTGCCAGTAAAAATCAAGTATACATATTCATGAAAGGAAAGCATCATCAATTAAATGTCTAACCATAGACAATACTGAACCAACTTACTATGAAAGCACAGTAAGCTCCTCTATATGCATATGTTTGACATGTATCAAGTTAAATTATGAATGTCAGAATAATGTTGAGTTTTTGTGAAAAGTTATCTCATGACAGCCACCCCCTACAACCACCCTAACTGATGCAACAACAGGACATCAATGTTCACGAATTCATCTGAAAGAAGATGTTTTCGTGCCAAATGAGAAATATCTACAACTATTAATAGGCAACTTACGTTCCGCCAACTCCTCCAATCACTTCAGTGCTGATAGGATGAAATGGAAGCTCACATATCCCAACCTTGTAACATATTCAAACATCTTCATCAACAGAGAAATAATAATAATAATAATAATCATGAAAAGTCCTGGCAGGGAACGAACATAACTATGAAAAGATGAAATGAAACAATCATACATGATGGGGAGATTTCTAACTATATAGCCAATGCAATAGATTCTGGATATGCAAATATAAGAAAAATTTAGAAACTCAAAATAGATTGTGGGTTCTATCACAAGCAAGAAGTCCAGTGGGTCAAATGAAAGTATTAATTGTGACTTTAGAGTATTCTCCTCAAGTTTGGTTAATTTCATTTAGATTACGGGGGAGTTTTTAAAATCTTTTTAGATTTACGTAATTTTGGACCTTAAATCTTAGTACTCATTCTGAATTTTACTAAGAGACCTTACTAATATAGATTGATCCTGGAATTAAATTTGTAAATACTTTTTTTTTCGAAAAACATGCCTTTTATAAAAGGATAAGTTATAAAGTCTTTATATACTTCTGCAATCTCCTTATTATGATAATGACGAACTAAGCACTTGTTTGGTCCCAATTTTGAACCCATTTGTAGAAGAATTTCGACCATTGGTAACTATTTTATACCCATTTCATCTGACAAAGACAGTACAAGTTACATATAATTTCTGACTTTTGTACACAATATTTACATTTTTGCCCGTTCTTCCATCGGTTGCATACACAGCAGTTGCCAGGCTGTACAATTGAAACATCATGTATCACAAACAACAGAAGAGGGGTAAAAAAGGAAAAACAAAAATTATTCTATACATTCCAGTCAACCCGGTTAACTAGGTAAGTACACTGGGGCCCAGTAGATGTGACAGAAAAATGCATTATTTTGGCCATAAATGGCGCCCAAACAAGCGCTAAGCTTTATTCCCTGTAATTTGGGGCGGCTATATGAACCCTCTTTGTTTAAATAAAGTGGATTACTATTATGATCATTTGGTTTCGCTCGAACCACCTCAATTCTAGATTTCTGCTCCTATGACCGAGTTGATTAACCTTGCTAATAAACAGTGTTCATGGAATCCTGCTACCACTTAGCTTCAAAACTGTACTTCACTTTCCAAAGTATTGTTCTTGAGTACTATTTATAACTCTCAAACAGTTTTGGGTATCTCTAAACCGAACCTTGCCAATCGAAAAATAATACAAACGGGTTGTGGAAATCTTTCTCCACCAGTTTGAATTAAGACCCACTACTTATTGGACTCTCGTCCATCATTGAGGAATATGATAAATAATATTTAGAGTGAAACATGGTTAGGCAGACAGAGATAACCCACGTATTATCTAAACCCCTTCTGTTGTTTACCGACTCAAATTACCTCAGATCTCATTCCCTAAAAAAAAAAAAAAAAAAAATTTAAGGGAAAACGTGCATTAAAGATCATTCACTAATCAAAATCCTGACAAAAACTACACAGGACTTGAGTCGCCAAAGGCAGTTAATACACAATATACTTTGATTCTTAATCCTTCCCAATTTAATAATTTGAATCTTCAGCAAAACAAGGTTATATATACCCAGCATCTACACATGTGATTAAGAAACATCAACTACAATACAACAATGCAATCAAGAAACTTATTTATTAGAGTGGGCTTTTCCTGTAATTAAACCTTAGCTCCATATTGTGCTGAAAATCGTGAAGCACGAACTCCGCCACTGCCAGCACCAATCACAAACAAATCAAAGTCATAGCGAGTCTCCTCTTCACTGTGCTTTTCCAGCTCCCCATCAATCAACATCTTCCTTGCCATGGCCACAATGCTATACACACATAATATAATCCATGAACAAGTAATATTAGATCCACAAAACTAAAATACGGAGTCATTAAATAGAAATAACAGCAAACTCTCTTGGTGCAGAGAAATGATCTAAAAGGAAAAAGAAGATCCCAAGTAAACTAAATGAAGTCTGACTTGTGAAAACAACGTTTCTTGGAAATGAAAGAGATTTTGACATTCTGCAAAAATAAACAAGAATTATTCTAACAATAGAGTACTCCAGCTACTTATCCTCTACTTAGGTTTACTTTACCGAAATTGATTTCCCTTTTTACTCGTTCGAAGAAAGATCACAACTTTTTTGCAAAATTAAACAAGAAACAAGCTTAAAAACATATTACTTGAGTTGAAATTCTCTTGGTTTTCTTTCTTATTCTTTTCATAGAATCTTGGAATGAACCAGATAAAGAATTAATATTACCTTTATAAAAAAGAAGCTATATTAAATTTTTTTTTTTTTTTTTTTGGATACCAGGTGTCCCAGTTTCGTCAGACTAAATCCTGTACCCCTAGCCACCGGCCCCTCAATAACTAGCGGAGGTAAATCGCAAGTTATGCCCTTATTGGATCACAGGTCCCCACGCGATCTAAACTCCTGGCCTCAAGAAAGCTTTTCTCCATAGTGATTAATCTACCAATAAATTGCCCCTTTATTGAATCAAAGGTTCCCACCAGGAATCGAACTCTCCACGCTGAGGTTGCGAGCGCGCCAAAGGTGATTGATCCATCAACTCAGATGTGCCCTGGGGGGCAAGAAGCTATATTAAATGTTGTTTTTTTTTTATATTAAATGTTGATTTGGCTTTTGATTGCTTGATTGCTTTCCTTTATGGAGTGCTGTCTTTGAATGGAACGCAAAGGGTTGTGGAGGAAATACACGAAAACGGACTTTGGACTGTAGCAAATTTTGATATTGACCTTTGACCCATTAAATGAATTAAAAAAATTTAAATTTAAAAAAACTTTACGCTAAAAGGGCGAATTTACCCTTCAGCTAGTGACTATTTGAATCTCATTTTTTAACCGATCGACCAAAGAAGAAAACGGACGCACAATCGCTTGAAAATTATCCGATCAACTACCAGCCAACTACACCACCGTCATAGTGAGCTAAATCGACGACCACGCATCTACACCGGAAAGAATACTGGTTAGTTTTCTCGCACAGAGTTCCAGTTAAAAATTTATTGAATAATATTAGATTTATTAGATTTAATTAGATGAATATTCGGTTTAATTAGATCATGAGCATGAGTAGTGTTAGATTGTGGGCATGCTGGGATGAAAAATGTGATATATTTTGTAATTTTTGGACCTATGGCGTCGACAATGACGATTTCCGACCAGAATTGGGAAAGACGGTGATGTTAACAGTCGTGGGGCGATTGTTAATAATTTAATTTTTTTTTAAATATATTTAATTTTTATTTGTTTTTTATAATTTTTGTAACTAATTTAATTTTTTATTTGATTAGTAATTATGTTATTTATTTATTTAATTTTTATAATTGTCTTTTATTTATATAATTTAATAATTGAATATTATCTTTAATTAACAATTTTGTGTTGTTCCTTTTTTTTTTGTTTATGAAATAATCTTTAATATTTTTTTCAATTTTATTTAAATATTATAAATATTCTTTACATTTTTTTAAAATGTATTTAATTTGAAATTTTTTGTTTGTAAATATATTTTCCAAATGATTACAAGATTAATTTTCTTTATAATCAATTAATTTTAATTTGATAAAATAATAATTATATTATTTATTTATTTAATTTTAATAATTGCCTTTTTTATATAATTTAATAATTGAATAGATAATGTTGTCCGAAATTGACAATTCTTTTTTTTTCCCCTTTTATTGCTCTTTTACCTTTGATTTTGTTTCGAATTTATTTAAATAATATTTATATTTTTAAATTTTTTTTGAAAATGTATTTAATTTATTTTTTTAAAATATATTTTTCAGATATAATATTTGTGATTAATTTTCTTTATAACTAATTTATTTTAATGCGTATTGTATGGTAGTTAGAATTCGGTTCCCTTGACTTTGTGAGATTATGCTTTCTTTTGTTATCTATTGTTCAATGCTCTAACATTTGAATTTTTGCAGGATGGAGTATCATTTAAATGGAGAGTTGAGACGGATGGCGGGGAAGGTTACTTGGAACAGTAGTTTTGAGAGTTTTACTACTGCGTTGGAGCTGCTCGATGATCAGCACAGAGAAATGCTACGACAGTCCTTCTTATGGCCACTGTACCAGTTGCGAGAGGTGCAGTACTCAAGACAAATTGTTGATGCACTTCTATGTCGACTTCTGAGGCCAGTCGACGGCGATTCCCTCCAGTTCGACCTCGGGGGCAAGGTCGTCTCTTTCTCGACATTTGAGTTTACATTGATCACTGGACTGAGGATTACGGACGACGATGCAGCCATTGAGAGAAACAATAGGCTGTATGAGACGTACTTCCAGGGATATGGGTCGGTGCTTCTACCCGACTTGATGGTCGCGATCAAGGGGTGCGACCAGATGCTAGATAGATTAAAGTTTAGGCTGGTCTACATCCTCGAGAGTGTGATGAGGTGTCATCACAAGAAGACTACCATCGACATTTTTCATTTGCAAGTTGTTGACGAAATCGATGCGTTCAACAACTATCCATGGGGCCGGAGATGCTACGAAGACACTGTACATGTCTTTTCTAGAGCACACTCGAGGCCCAGGGGGTCGATGCGTAAATACGATACATATGGATTGCCCTTAGCGGTGCAGGTAAATGTTTAATATAATCAAAATTAAAGTTTTAATATATTACATTTGTACATAATAAGTGTATGTGTTACAGATTTGGGTGTATGAGACAGTCCCTGTACTGGAGGCTCACTTTGCGCAGGGAGGAGAGACACGCTGCCCTTGGATGCTTCATTGGATATCATCGTGAGCGGAGGGATGTCCCACTGGAAAGCAGTTATCGACCTTCCTCGACGATCCTCAGGTAAGTATTATGCATTTGTGATTTATATTATACGTAGTTTAAAATTTTGTTTACATGATCGTTAAGTAGTTGAAATGTCAATATGTCAGCTTGAAGTCATACCTGAGTTGACACCGTCGATGGAAGAGGAGACTCGGGGTCTTGTGCGGGATTTAGGCTTTCTGCACACCCCAGACGAGGAGATGTCTGATCCGAGTTTGGATCGAGATTGGGTATGTGAATGAAATATAATTTATTGAATATCGTCGACGTATAAATATATTGAATAATTTGTAATGTCATTTATGTACGAAGGCGGTCCAACCAATCCACGATCACCTCCGCCGAGGGTATCGCTGCCACCATTGGCATCACCTCCGTCGAGAGTATCGTCCCCGCCATTGGCATTACCTCCGTCGAGGGCATCACTGCCGCCAGTGGCATCACCTTCGCCGAGGGCATCGCCTTCGCCATTGGCATCACCTCCGTCCAGACACCTCCCCCGTGTGTCTCCGGCACACAGTGATGATTTGTATGCCCGTTTGACTGGATTTATAGAGGAGGAGGTCGGCACGCTACGACGAGATTTGATATAGAGGGTCGATGATCTGGGATGAGAGTTGACAGGGAGGGCTGACGATCTATCCCATGATGTTGGAATACTACAGTCTTCTGTTGTCGACCTTCAGGATATAGTAGCAGCGTTTAGAGGAGATTTAGCCGGCAGACGATGGGAGGACAGGGGGGATGGCGTCGATCATGATCGAAAGGGTGGCAGAGATGGTGATGGAGAGGGGGATCACCCACATTTTTGGCATGATAAGACGTTGGAGTCATTGTGGTTGTCTATGGAGGGGGTGGCCCCGACGGGAGGGGCGGAGGAAGTGGTGACAGAGGGGGATGCCACGACGGGAGGGACGGAGGTGGCGGCGGCGGAGGGGGAGGCCCCGATGGGAGGTGCGGAGGAGGTGGCCCCAGAGGTCGAGAGGACGCCCTGTGTGATTGAGGGTAAGAGACATGCTGTTGACGAGATGGAGCAGGTGATCGGCAAGAGGTTGAGAGTGTCGTCACAGCATGTTGTTTTTCCCTTCACGGCTGAGGTCAAGAGGAGGACGTTCATCGATGGGACGCACCCGAACTTTTTCAGGGAGGTGGACAATGCCAAGTGAAAAGCGTTCGAGACAGAGTGGCGAAGAAGTATCCCCGGGTAAGTATTGTATTATTTTAATAACGTACTGTACGCTAACTCGTCTATGCTTATTTTAACATTTTCCTATTTTTTACAGAGTTAGCCGCACGATAGGTCAAAGGACAGTTTCGGACCCTTACAAGTGGTTCCACGATATCATCACTGCAGGAGCTTGGCTCACCGACGATGTAAGTGAACTATTCATTTCGTGTATTTTATGTATACGTCACTTTGTGTTTATTAAATGAATAACTCATACTTTTTTGGTATTTCTTGCTGCAGCACATCGACCTGGCCATGGACTCGCTGCAAAATCGAGCTCAAAGACATTCAAAATCATTTGATGTCCATGGTCGGGTCATATTAAACACCAAGTTCTTGCGTGTCGTTACCATAGAGTATCAGTCGCTCGAACTTATGGGTAATGAGTACACGGTGCCAGAATATATGCTCGAGTGAGTGATAGGACTGTCACCAAGTGTCGGGAAAAATTCATGGGAGGGTTGTACACATATGTACATTCCAGCATGCATCAATAAACACTATATTACGCTGGAGATCGTTTTTGCTGACTCGACTATATATGTGTACGACCCAGATCATTCATGTTTGGAGCAAAAACCTGGAGTCTGTGGCTATAATTGTTCCTATGATGGCTGAACGAGCGGAGATAAATGTATAGGACAGATTGCGGATTGTTCGAAACACGACGACAGCGCGACAGTCCGTAAGGTAAGTGTTTGAAATTTGTTGTTTTTATCTTTCAGATTTAGTTTTTACTTACACAGTACTGAATTGATTCATTCTTGTTCAATTGCAGCGGCGACTGCGGTATGTTTGCCATTAAGTATGTCAAATTTTTAAGTATAGGACATAAGGTTGATGGAATCAACCAGTCGTGAATACAGAACTGGAGAAAGAAGCTAGCATGTGATTTGTTCAAATTTAATGCTGACCCTTAAATTTGTATTAAATATATGTAACATTTCAATTGTAAATTTGATTATTTTTTGTGATTATGAAATAATTGTAAATTTGTGTTCAATGTATATAACATTCACATTGGAAATTTAATTATATTTTTTGTTTTGTTATTTTACACGTAGGCCGAGTATGGAACTATTTTTTCATATGAATCATTATAAATACCATTTATCAAGAATAAATATTGAACATTGAAGATTTATAAAAAAACAAATATTGAACAGTGTAAAGTAAAAGA